GAAGAGTGGAAAAGTGGGTGCAGACCAGGTGAGGCTCACCTGCGCTTCTCGTTCCACGCGTTGTACCACTTGATGAAGCGCTTGGTGCTCTGCAGCTTGGGGTGCAGGCAGTGTTCCTGACCCCGGTACCTGGACATGCTCTTGGTGGTGATGCTGAAACAGAGCAGGGTGATGGGGGGGGGGAGGGTTGGGGAGCCTGAAGCACAACACATGTGGGGGTGGCCTCTGGTATGTGCGAATCTGAGCGCAGAGACTGTGGGACCCTCCCTCCTCTCTGGAGAGCCTGCTCCTGCACTCACCTCCTGGCTGGCTCTTTGGGAGATTCTGGAAGTCACTTTAGTCTGTGTCCCATGGAGCCCAAAATCTGTGAACCCCCCCAAAATCTGTGAACCCCCCCAGCCCCCACACTCCCTACACCGTCTGTCTGCAGGGCCCTTGCCTGTGTCTGGGAGCCAGGGGCAGGAGCAGCACGTGAGGTGGATCATGCTCGCTTGAGGCAGAGAGCCAGGTGGGTCCTGACCACTTCCCTTAAACTGCAGGGCTGCCACCGAGGGAAACGGAGAGAGCGACGAGGCTTTCTACTCCCGCAAAGAGTGACAGACTCGGACACTCACCGGAGCAGTGCCACCCTGTGCTATAGGGCCGCTAGGAGTCGGAATTGGCTCATCGCAGCAAGTTCTGGTTTTGTTTTGAACCAGGGGGGGAGGAGCCCAAGTAGCTCTGTGGGCTAAGCACTGGGTTGCTAAGTACAGGGTTGGTGGTTCAAACCCACCCACCTCTCCTTGGGAGAGAGATGAGGCTGTCTGCTCCTGTAAGATTCATAATCTTAGAAACTCTACACAAGGTCTCTAGGAGTCAGCCTCGACTTGAGGACGGGGCTTGGCTTTGGGCATTCTCACCACAGGCGAAGGCACCCCTGTGGACAGTAGGATCTCTGAGCCCCCAAGCCCTCTGCAGAGACCTTCAGGGTCGCAGGTTAGCTGTGACGCCCATTTGGATTTCTGAACAAATGAGAGTTTCCAGCATGTCCTCAGGCAGAAACACGAAGCGCCCTCTCCCCAGCACAGAAGGCCTTAGGCCCCTGTCAGCTCTGTTCCAACAGCCCGGGGTGCCAAGTCAGGCGGCAGAGAAGCAGGGCATCACCTTGCAGACTGTCACAGGGTCTGGATCTCAGTCTGAACTCTGCTGCTTATTGGCCGTGGAACCTTGAGCAGCCTCTCTGCACCCAGTCTGCCAATCTGGGAAGTGGGGCTAATGATAGCACTGACCTCTGGGGGGCCGGTAGGATGCAAAGAGCATCTGGCAGATGGACAATGGATGGTGGTTATTATTAGTAATAATAATAGAGGGCCAAGGCAGGCTCCAGCCTGGTGGGGGTGGTAAGACGGCTGCCCACACTGCCGTGTCCCCCTCAGCCAAGGCTGGGGCGCTGACCGCAGGAGAATGAGGAAGTGGCTAGGTGGGCTTGGAGATGATGGTGTTTGAGGGTGATGGGTCCCATGGGGGAATTTGGGACGTGGCAGGTGAAAGGTCTCACAGGGTGGTGCAGGGCTGGCTGGGGGCCAGTGTTAATAGGCTGCAGAGGGTCGAGGCACAGAGAGGGGCTGAAGATAGGGTGGGAGGAGGGAAACCTGCTGGCTAGTTCTCCACAGGGGAAACAAACATCACAATCACTACCGTCAAGTCAGTTCTGACTCCTAGAGAACCTATAGGGCAGGGTAGAACTGCCCCCATTGGATTTCTGAGACTTCAAATCTTTACAAGGGTATACAGCCTCATCTTTCAAATTTGTAGCAACCGGTGGATTCAAACTGCTAAATTTGTGGTTAGTAGCTTGGTGGATAGCCCATTGCGCTACCAAGGCTCTCACAGTTTACAGAAGGGTAAGTGTCAGGACTCTTGGACCTAGTTCTAGAAGGAGGTAGAGTGGTCATGAATTATCTTGCTAACAGAATAGTGAGAGATTGTTTCTGGCCAGGCTGTTCTTGTCCTCTCAGTGTGTTCTGCGCACCCCGGGAGCCCTCAGCTTCTCAGGGGTGGTGACTGGTCTTCGGCTGACACAGTCTTCCTGGGCCTCAGACTGAGACTGCGCTCCTTTTTCTGCAGCGAGGGCAGCTTCCTGGGGCTGGTCTCCAAGCCTGGAGCATGAGGCTGGGCTGCAGAGTATAGTCTAGATGTCACCCACCCCCAGGATACCTAGTCACCCTGAAGGAATTTAACAAATGCATTTCTTTCTCTGCCTACAACGCTGCTTTTGCACTTGGAATGAAAGGACGGGGTAAAAAGTCTGATAGAACCCCCTTTTCTGTTAGTTGTGGGCACAGGCTGCGGAGCCCAGATCCTGAAGGTCAGAGACAGTGAGGAGAGGCCACCCCAGGCCGCCCACAGCAGTGCCTCCAGCTGGGCTCGAGACTGCAACACTGGTAGGTGCGTGCCCCAGCCATTACTCAGAAATTCTGGCCCATTCCCTTCCTTTCAGCGGTTCTAGGGTGCTGAGGGTTTGGCTACGAGTTCAGCTCACTTGTGACACACTTGGTTTCTTGTAGCATCGAGCTGAGCTCCTCCTGGGCCATTCTGTGGGCAAGGACTTGCATTTGCAATGCAGACCCCATTCCCCTGGCCACAACAGAGAGTTCTAGGCTCGGTGTATGGAGCCCCCTTTAGTATTTTGAGGTGTGCACACTTAATCTCTGTAACTCGCTCAGTGCAGTGCAAGCCCTCACTTTGATAGCTAGTCCCCTGCCCCCTCCCCACCAGAAAGACTTTTCTGGAGTTAGTCTGCAAGGCAAGAGGCAGAGCAAAGGAAAGGGGCCAAGGAGGCTCATTCAGGTGCCTGAAAGCAAGGCAGCGGCTGCAGCGAAGGACCCGACTTCCCCAGTTGCTCCAACAGCGGTGCTGGGGGCCCTGCCTTTGCAGACACTGCGTGGAGGCCTGAGCCCACAGGGCCAGCGGCAGGCGGAAGGGACTTGCCCAGACTGAGAATAAAGTGTGTCCTGTTTCTGGGGGCGGGGAAGAGGGGCCAATGGTCCGTGGCAGCAGATATTTGGTAGTTGCTTTGCCAAGCCTCCCTCCCTGGCCAAGAGTGTATTGATGGGGGAACAGTGGCGCTGGCCTCAAGTGGTTAATTGGGAAGGCAGAAGGGCAAGGAAACGCAGTGTTCTCACTCTGCCCCAGTTTTTCAAATATTCCCGACTTCCTCGGCTCCTCAGTGAGCAGGGCTTCGTCGGGTGGCCTCACATTCACCCTGGCTGGGCAGTTTCCCCCAGCACTCCGCACAGGCCTCCCCCCCAGCCCCCAGCAAGGGACCCAGGCGGCATGGCGGTGGGTGGGGGGGCAGGGAGGAGAAGAGAGAGACCCGGCATCACCCTCACCATGAATTCTCTGGGTGCAAGTCCCAGGATGATCCCCTGAGAGGGGGAGAGTCTGAGGAGTTCAGAGAACACTGGCTTTACTTCCCTCTCCTGTGACAGGGTGGCCGTCGGCCTCCCAGGCTGGGTGTCCTTTGAGTAGTTGGGGATGTGTTCTGTGTGGTTTCAGTCTGGGTGTTCTAAGTTGGCCAGAGCGGTGGGGGGTCGGGTGGGCACGTTTAACCCTTGCTGGCCCTCAGAGGGACAGCAACAGACAGCGCGAGGCCAGAGGCCACCCCCATGGAGTCCTGGCAAGGGTGGACTCCCTGGGGAGGCTGTTTCCGGAGCAAGGGACAGTGACACCCCCTTCTCAGACTGTCTTCCAAAGTGTTGCGCCAGCCAGCTTGGGACGGACTCGCCCGCCGGGCAATTACAAAGGCTTTGCAAAGGCCAACACAAAGCTGAAACGTCCGGCGGCAGCCCGAGCCCCGCCGGCCCTACGCTGTGCCCCAGCACCCCGCCGGAGCGAAAGACGCGCGGCCACAGACGCTCACAGGTGAGCCGCGAGCACTCACATAACCATCTTCTCCTCGCAGTGCGGGTACTTTGGCTTCATTTCCAGCTTCTTCACATCGCTGTAGCGGATCTTGGGTCCCTTCCGGGAGCACTTGCACTTGGACCCTGAAGGAGAGAGCGCAAGCCGCCACTCACTTGCACGCGCGCCCTCGGTGCCCATCCAGACCCCAGTGGACTTAGCGTGCCAGGCCAAGGGCGTTTGGGCTCCCCAGGACGGGGCAAGACGGCGACCAGGGGCCCTCCGGGCACTCACCGTCCACGCGCGCGGCGCACAGCGCCAGGAGCAGCAGGAGCAGCGCGGCCGTCAGGAGCCTCATGCTGGCCGGAGGGCGCGGCGCGAGAGCCGGGACGCAGGGCGAGCCGTCAGTCGGTGCAACCGCCCGGAGTCGCTGCCCGGTTCAGTTCACTGTGCCCGGAGGGAGCGCGCCTCCCGGCCCTGCTGGTGCCCTGCGCCCGTCGGTGGGTGCCTCTGGGTGGTGTGGGCGCGCCGCGCTCTGCGCACCTCTCTGCGCTCTCGCCACAGCTCCCCTCCGCCCGCTCAGGCCTCTTTTAAATTCGCTCCTGCCCTCGGAGCGAGC